ACTTGGCCGAGGCAGAGGCCATTTCCAGCGTGGTCGTGGACCACGATATGCCACCTTCTCGCACCTCGCCCGAAACTGCCCAAGCCCCGAAAGATTCCCAACGTGCGCCGGCAACAACCCACCAGCTTTGAAGCGCAAGGGCCGTGCTGGTGTTGGTTTGGCACAGCAGAAGCCCAAGGCTGGAGAATGCTTTGGCTGGATGGACGGGGTTTGCAAGGACCTTAAATTGCCGCTACAAGTACCAGTGCGCGAGTGTGGTGATCGTCATCATGATATATTTAAAGAGCTGCCCCAAGTCTGGCAGGGGGCACTGAGACCAGAGACCAAAGTGGCGACAGACGGGGGCGGGCGCTGAAGAGCAGAGCACAAGCGGCCCGGAGCACGTGACATGTTTGGTGACCTGCATCAGCAATGGTTGAGACGTGTGCACGAGTGGGACTTGGTACCGCGTCTTCTCAGGAATGTTGCAACGAGCAGTGAGGTTCCTTTGCTTTGTGATGAAGAAGTGGCTGATCATCGCGAAGATCTGCGTCTTTTTCTCAGTAGTAAAGGTCTCGAGTGCTTTTTCACCGTGCCTTCAGGTCAACCATTGGCACTTCACCTGCTACGTGGCATGCTCACGCTGCCCGATGACGTCGATGCAGAGCTAGCAGTACAGCTTGAGCGAGGAGTGGGCATATTGGACACTATTTCGGCGTCTGGCGTCTGGCGCCCAGTGGAAGTGCCCGAGCGTTTTCTAGTAGAGCTGCTTAGCTGGCAAGAGCCGTGGAGTTCCGGGCGACAAGACCCGGATACCGTGTTGCAGCTGGTGCAGGAGGATGTCGATCTTGGGTTTGCAGAGTGGCTTCCGGGCGGTCTTGCAGAAGCTCGGGTTCGGTTTGGTGCAGCCTGTCCGGCAGGGCGGCTCGGGCTTGTCAAACAGGATGGCTCGGCCCCACGTTTGGTGGGTGACAGCGCAGTGTCCGGCAAACTTCCTTTGCTGGATTGGTGAGCGCGTAGAGATGCCGATGTCAGCGAATTCCTGTCCAGAGACCCTGATGCTCTGTGGACGGGCTTACGGCCGTCCCCAAGGCGCATAAGCGAGTGAAAGGCTCCGGAGGATTGTGGTTCTCTCTTTTCGCCATCATTGACAGCAAAGGTGACACGCACTGGATCATGTATAGGACCTGCCATTTTGGAGGTGCCTGGTCCGCTTACTGGTAGTCCTGTGCAGCAGGTACCTTCAATAGGATTGGCCAGGATTGGCCACAAACTCTTGCGCGTACACCATCTTTTGGCGGTGTACGTGGATGACAGCTTCGCTTTGTTCCCGCGCTCGACGGCTCCACTGTGTGCATCCTTGTTGCTATGTTTGGCGTTAGCGCTGGGGTTGCCACTCAGTTGGCGAAAGCTTCGGCACTTCGCGTTAAGATGGATCAACCTTGCCGCTCGACAAGTGCTGCTTGTTGGAGATGCTTGCGCAATTTTGTGTGGCTGCAGGCATTGTTTCAAGTGCTGCACCAGCCCGCCATCCTGGTGAAGGCGTTGGATGCATAACAGTTGGCCGATCTTCGTGCGAGTGTGGATGACAACTTGGTGGTGGTGCAGAAGCCACGGCGCTGTCCGGTCTCGGTGTGCTGGCATGCGCCAGAGATTGCTCACAAGCCCGTGGCAGGCGCTACCGCGTTGCAGTCTTCTGGACCATTCCCCGTGTGGGTCAAGTTTGGAAACCCAGCCTCGGCAGAAGTGCGGATTTCGTCTGAGGCTGCAGAGGCTGCCGCTTTTTACCGCGATCTAATCCTGTTGGACGTGGCG